GTCCTCAACTCTTTACTCTTTGTTGTGAATATCTGGGGCTCAAACCTCACTACTCTGCTCAAGAGTGATTATAATGCTAACATTGACCACGGTGGTATGGTATTTATGATGTGGCTGGCCCTGTATTTGTATCTGGTTTCATTTACATTATGTGTCTGTCATATAGAAATTATTTCCATTCAGATGATGAAAAACTGGAGCTTAAAGTGGTTTTTAAAAAGTACTTAAATCTGTATGGTTAATCAGAGATAGACCTGGCTACCTGGCTTCAAGGCTAACACTAGTGGTAGGAATAATTATGGCTAACATTTTTTTCTTCCTGTTTGTGTGGTATTTTGCCAAAAAAAAAAAGGTTACTTGATTAAAATATTCAGTCTTTAAAAACTACTATGATGCAGGTGAAGGATATGATATAACCTAGTATCCTAGCATCAGAGGCTGAGGCAGGAGGATTGTGAATTTGAGGCAAGTCTGCATTATATAATGAGACCCTTGCCCCCCTAAAAGTTCTCCCAAGCTAGTGAAAGGAGAAAACTAAAGATGAGGATGAAGATAAACAAAACAGAGACTAGAGTAACTGCAAAGAAAGCTGATGCACCAAAAGTTGGTTCTTCAAAAATGATTAACAACATTAGCAACCTTTTCCCAGATTAACTTTGAAAAAAGGAGATGGATATTACTAAAATTTGAGACCTCACCATCCATTCTCAAGAATATGAAGAATTTCAAGAGTACTCAGTAGTTATATGCTAACTGTTGAGTGGCCTAGATGCAATGGCCAAATTCCTACAAACTGGGATTCTTTAGAGATGGAATTGTGAAAGAAACAAAATTGAATAGCTGTATAACCAATAAGATTGAATCAACAAAAATTTGACAAAATTTCACAGACTTTGATGATAAAAACACTGAAATATGATAGAAGTCCAGCTTACTATAACAAAGGAAACATGGAAACCCACAGACAACATTATATTAAATGGGGAGATTGACTCTCTAAGATCAGGAAGAACACAGGATGCTGCTGTGACCACTTCTGTTCAAGAGACTCTTAGGAGTGCTACACAGAACCATTAGGCAAGACAATGAAATGAAGGTGCCCAATTATGAGGTGCTAAAAATATCTGTAGATGACAGGAACTCGTTCTTAGAAAATCCTTAACATTCTACAGAAAGTTCTCAGAATTACAGGAGCAAAACTAGTAAATTGGTTGGCTAATGAAATGAACATGCCCAAGTGAGCTGTATTTCTGTATACTACTATTGACCATGAACAATTAGATTTTCGTTTTTCCTGGCAGTAGTGGAACTTCAACCTAGGGCCTCGTGCATGCCCGGCAAGTGTTCAGCCCCTGAGCAAAAGTCCCAGCCTTAACAGTGAACAATTGGAAAGGAAATTAAGAAAGTATTTATTTATGAGAGCACCAAAAAGAATAAAATACTTAGAATTAACTCCACCAAGGAGATAAAAGACTTGCACTCAGCAAACTACCAAATAAGAGATGATGAAAGAAGACAAGAAATGACAGCCATTGGGGTTGATGGGTTGGAAGACTTAATCTCATTATCACTGTTGTTCTGCAGTACTTGGATTGAACCCAGGGCTTTGTGCACGGTAAGCAATGCACTACCACTGAACTGTACTCTAAGCTCTGCCTTCTAATTTTTATTTAGAAACAGGATGTCACTAAACTAATCAGGCTGGCCTTGAATTGGCTGTGGTAGGCACTTTTAGAACTTGATACTCTTGCCTCATCTTCTTGAGTGACTGGATTTAAAGGCATGAGCCAGCTGGCCTGAAAGACTTTTTTTAATAGATGACAATATCCGTGAATGTTGTCTATCAGTTCTATGCACATCAGATCAAAACCCCAGTGGCATTTTGGACAGAAATAGAATAGTCCGTTCTAGCTGTCCTAAACTCACTATATAGATCAGGCTGGCCTCAGTTTCCAAGAGATCCACCTGTCTCTGCTCCCAAGAGCTGCGGTTAGAGGCAAGCACCAGCATACCTGGCTTTAAGAGTATCTTGAAAAAGAAAAAGGATTAAAATTGCAGGACATTCTGCATGATTTCGTAATTTTAGTACAAAGCTGCAACAATCAAAATAGTCTACTGCTGACATAAAGGCAGGCATACAGATCGGTGAAATAGAATTGGAAAGCCCAGAATTGCTCATGCACACTGGCCATGATTAAATTAAAGATTAGTTGATATGATCAATACGTGTGTTTATGTGGCACAGTTTTGCATATATATTATAATGTGTGTCAGATCTGAGCAGTAGGCATATCCACCATTTCATCTGTCACTTTTTCTGTTTGTTACAAACATTCATTTCTGATGGCTCTTTTGAATTACTTGGTGTGAAACAGAGTTGCCCTATTGAGTTACAGAACTTGGAAGGCATTCTTGCTGTCCATCTGACCTTCTGTGACCAGATGAGTTTTGATCAGGCTGCTAAGATTGTTCAAGGATGGAGGAATAATCAGTTAAACAAGGGATGTTGGGAAAATGGGATATCCAGGTAAAAGAATGAAGTTAAGCCTTCACCTAACAACATTTAAAAATCAACTCTACATGAATCAAATACCTAAAATGGATCAGAGCTGAAAGTCATCAGATTTTTAGGAGACAGGATGAAAGCACCTTGAAATTGGATTTCAAATGTCTTTGTTATGATGCCAGATGCATCTTATGGGCCTTTTGGCTGCTTATATGTCTCTGCAGAACATGCATGTTTGGTACCTGAGGAGGACAGAAGAGGGTGTTGAATTCCTTGGAACTTAGTTACAGACAGTAATAAGCTGCCATGTGGGTGCTGGGAATTGAACGCCTGTCCTTTGGAAGAGCTGCTAGGGCTCTTAAGTATTGAGCTATCTCTCCAGTCCCATATGTATATTTGGTTTATGGAACTGGAGAGATAGCTCAATAGTTACATATCAAACACACACACACACACACACACACACACACACACACACACACACATACTACTACTACTACTACTACTACTACTACTACTACTACTACTACACACCACAAATAAACAGTTATCAGAAAAAAAGTCTTGTGCAAGGAGGTCATGCTGCAAATGTGAGCATGAAAATAAGAAACTCAGTATATGGGCCACCAAGATGGCTCAGTTGGTAAGCTGCCTGCCATACTGCCTCCCGGTACCTATCCCCAACTGCCACAAAGAAAAAAAATGCAGAAGAAATGACTGGTCACATGATTGGAGGCCCATGAACTGTAGACTAATGACTATGGAGCCCCCATGGGACTGGACTAGGCCCTCTGGATACAGAAGACAGTCGTTTGGCTTGAACTGTTTGGGTGGCACCCAGGCAGGGGGATCGGGATCCATCCCTTGTGCATGGGCAGGCTTTTGGGTTGCAGTGCCTGTGGAGTGATGCTTGTGCAGCCTTGGTACAGTGGGAAGGGGCTTGGACCTGCCTAGGCCCAGTGTGCTGGGCTCTGTTGACTCCCCATGGGAGACCTTGATTTGGGGGATGTGCTGGGAGGGGGAGAAAGGAGGAGGTGGGTTCTGTGGGTGGTATGTAGAGTGAGCAGAAAATTTCTCAATAAAGAAAAATGAAAAAAAGAAAAAGAAAAAGAAAAATGCACAAACAAATGTGGGCCAGTGAAATGGCTGTAGTGGGTAGCTATTCCAGCTTTGATCTTGAAGTTCCAACCCCCATTGAGGCTTTGGTAACTATCACGCCTACAAGGCAGGGCCAAGGGAGGACCCTGAAGACCCGAGATCCAGATGGACCAGCTCTCTCTGTTCTTGGACCCTGGAAGGTGGAGGTTGACTGAGCAGAGCCCCAGAGAACACCGCTGGACTGTGATACACCTTTCCCAGACCCTGCAACCTACCTATCCCTTCATTTGTAAGTTACACCATTAATAAACTTTCCTTTTAACTACGTGGAGTGGCCTTAAAAATTTCAACAATAAATGGCTTAGCAGATAATGGGCTTGCTCACCCACCTGAGTTCAATCCCCTGTCCATGGAGAACTAGCTCCCACAAATTGTCCTCTGACATCCACACTAGGTGTGGAACACCTACACAAAATAATAAACAAGCAAACGTAGTAAGAAACTCAATACAGGTCCTTTCTATCTATGGATTTTATATTTGTGGATCGAAACCTTGGAAACAAACTTCTTGGAAAAGTATCTCTACAGCGAAAAATGTGTTGTTTCATCCTATCACTGTCCTGTACTCAAAACAATAAGACTAGTGTCTATGTAGTATTCATATTAGATATAGAAAATAATCTAAAGATAATCTGAATGTGTGGAAGGACATATAGAGTAACATGAATATTTTACTAGATCCTGAGGGTGGAATGTGTGTCTGACTCAGACCCTAAACTCTTAATCACTTTGCATTTCTGTCTGCTATATTGACCAATCTATTGTTCTTATTATTGACCAGGTCTCACAATGTAATCTGGGTTGGTCTTGTACTTCTTTTTTTTTAAGAGATTTTTCTATTCATTTTACATACCAACCATAGATTCCCCTGTCCTCCTTCCTCCCGCCCCCCAGCCTTCCTTCTCATAAGACCCCCGATTTCCACCTTCTCCAAAGGAAGGTCTCCCATGGGGAGTAAGCAGAGCCTGGTCCATTCAGTTGAGTGACCTTGTACTTCTATGCCTTCTGCTTCGTGCTCTCACTCTTTTGAGACAGGGTCTCACTATGTAGCTCTGGCTAACCTGAAACTGGCTACAAAGACCAGGGTGGTTGGGAACTCATAGAGATCCAACTGTCTCTGCCTCTGGTGTGCTGGGGGTTAAAGGCATGCAGCACTATGCTCACCTTGCTTGGTGTGTTATCATGAGATTAACATGCATCCATCACCAAGCTGGCTGTATTTGTATCTTGAACCATTTTTTTTCTCCTTGTGACTTTGACCATTCTGTACTCTGTTGATAAAGAAACTGTCCCACCCCCAACACTATGGAGTAAGAATGGAGCAGAGATCACTCACCTTTTATGTTCAGAGTGATGCGGTCACTCCTCTTGTTAACCAATCCCTTGGTTACCTCACACTGATAGTCCCCTGAATTCTCACTCCTGGCAGGGTCTATTTGGAGGGTACTGTTGTTCGGGGACAGCATCATCTTATTTGTGATTCTCAGACGCTGAGAGTTGAAGAGCCAATGGATGGAGATCCCCGTGTCATTTGACAAGCAGGTCAGGAATATAGACATCAGGTCTTTGACTGTGGTGTTGGTGACTTGGATGGAGGGTGGAGTCACTGGCTCTGTGGATAAACAGTGGGGGGAAGAGCTGAGAGTCCTTCACCCTCAGAGATCTCATCCAGCTCACAGGGCCCATAGAATGAAGTGGCCCTCTGCAAGATCACATGTTTGGGTTCAAGATATGTTCTGTAAGGAGAGAGCTGAATCTTACTCCTACCAAGATCACCCACAGTGACCATAACTCAGGGTATTTGTGTAGATTCCACACTGCATGCCTCCTCAGCCCACATGTCCAGAAATCTGATGGTTGGTGGTATATATTTCCCAAAGTTTTTTGTGGGAATCCTTGCTCACACTTTCTGTGAGTGTGAATAGTCAGGTCCCTATTTATGAAATAGCCCAATTGAATCACCAATGGGTCAAGGAAGAAATAAAGAAAGAAATTAAAGATTTCCTAGAATTCAATGAAAACAAATGTACAACATACCGAAACTTATGGGACACTATGAAAGCAGTGCTAAGAGGAAAATTCATAGCTCTAAATTCCCACATAAAGAAGTTGGAGAAATCTCACACTAGTGACTTAACAGCACAACTGAAAGCCCTAGAACAAGAAGAAGCAAACTCACCCAGGAGAAACACACACCAGGAAATAATCAAATTAAGAACTGAAATCAAAGAATCAATGAAACAAAGAGTTGGTTCTATGAGAAAATCACAAGATAGATAAGCCCTTATCTAGACTAACCAAAAGGCAGAGAGAGAGAGAGAGCATCCAAATTAACAAAATCAGAAATGAAAAGGGAGATATAACAACAGACAACGAGGAAATCCAGAGAATCATCAGGTCATACTTCAAAAACCTTTACTCCACAAAATTGGAAAATCTTAAAGAAATGGTTGATTTTCTGGATAGGTATCACATACCAAAGTTGAGTAAGACCAGATAAACTATTTAAATAGACCAATAACCCCTAAGGAAATAGAAATAGTCATTAAAAGTCTCCCAACCAAAAAAAAGCCAAGGACCAGATGGTTTAACTGCAGAATTCTACCAGACTTTCAAAGAAGAGCTAATACCAATACTCTTCAAATTGTTCCACACAATAGAAACAGAAGGAACATTACCAAACTCTTTTTACGAGGCTACAGTCACCCTGATACCCAAACCACACAAAGATGCAACAAAGAAAGGAATTACAGACCAATCTCCCTCATGAACATTGATGCAAAAACACTCAATAAAATAACTGAATCCAGGAACACATCAAAAAAAGTATCCACCATTACCAAGTAGGCTTAGTCCCAGGGATGCAAGGATGGTTCAACATATGAAAATCAGTCAATGTAATACACCATATAAACAAACTCAAAGAAAAAAACCACATGATCATCTCATTGGATGCTGAAAAAGCCTTTGACAAAATCCAACACTCCTTTATGATAAAGGTTCTAGAGAGATCAGGAATACAGGGAACATACCTAAACTTGATAAAGGCAATTTACAGCAAGCTGACAGCCAACATCAAGTTAAATGGAGAGAAACTCAAAGCTATTCTACTAAAATCAGGAACAAGACAAGACTGTCCACTCTCCCCATACTTATTCAACATAGTACTTGAAGTTCTAGCTAGAGCAATAAGACAACAAAAGGAGATCAAGGGGATACAAATTGCAAAGGAAGAAGTCTAACTTTCACTATTTGCAGACGATATGATAGTATACATTAATGACCCCAAAAATTCTACCAGGAAACACCTACAACTGATAAACTCCTTCAGTAAGGTGGCAGGATACAAGATTAACTCGAAAAAATCAGTAGCTCTCCTATATTGAAATGATAAATGTGCTGAGAAAGAAATCAGGGAAACACCACACTTTACAATAGCCACAAATCATATAAAGTACCATGGGGGTAACTCTAAGCAAGTGAAAGACCTACATGATAAGAACTTTAAGTCTCTGAAGAAAGAAATCAAAGAAGATATCAGAAAATGGAAATATCTCCCATGCTCATGGATAGGAAGAATTAACATAGTAAAAATGGCAATCTTACCAAAAACAATCTACAGATTCAGTGCAATTTCCATCAAAATCCCAACACAATTCTTCACAGATCTGGAAAGAACAATACTCAACTTTATATTGAAAAACAAAAAACCTAGGATAGCTAAAAGAATCCTGTACAATAAAACAGCCTCTGGAGGCATCATGATCCCTGACCTCCAGCTCTACTATAGAGCTATAGTAATAAAAACAACTTGGTACCATCATAAAAACTGACACATGGAGCAATGAAATCAAATTGAAGACCCTGAAATTAATCCACACACCTATGAACATGACTTTTGACAAAGAAGCCAAAACTACACAATGGAAAAAAGAAAGCAACTTCAACAAATGGTGCTGGCATAACTGGATGTCAACGTGCAGAAAATTGCAAATAGATCCATATCTGTTGCCATGCACACAACTCAAGTCCAAGTGGATCAAAGACCTCAACATAAATCCAGTTACACTGAACTTGATGGAAGAGAAAGTAGGAAGTAGTCTTGAACTCATTGGCACCAGAGATCACTTCCTAAATATAACACCAGTAGCACAGACTCTGAGAGCAACAATTAATAAATGGGACCTCCTGAAACTGAGAAGCTTTTGTAGAGCAAAAGACACAGTCAAGAAGACAAAACAACAGGCTACAGAATGGGAAAAGATCTTCACCAACCCCACATCTGACAGAGGGCTGATATCCCAAATATATAAAGAATCCAAAAAGCTAGACATCAAAATACTGAATAATCCAATTAAGAATGGTCTATAGAGCTAAACAGAGAATTCTCAACAGAAGAAGCTCAAATGGCTGAAAGACATTTAAGGAATTGCTCAACATCCTTAGTCATCAGGGAAATGCAAATCAAAATGACTCTGAGACACCATCTTACACCTGTCAGAATGGCTAAGATCAAAAACACTGAAGACAGCTTATGTTGGAGAGGATGTGGAGCAAGGGGAACACTCCTCCACTGTTGGTGGGAATGCAAACTTGTACAGCCACTCTGGAAATCAGTATAGTGGTTTCTCAGAAAATTGGGAATAAGTCCTCCTCAAGACCTAGGTATACCACTCTTGAGCAAATACCCAAGGAATGCTCAATCTTACCACAAGAACACATGCTCAACTATGTTCATAGCAGCCTTATTCATAATAACAAGAACCTGGAAACAGCCTAGATGCCCCTCAACTGAAGAATGAATAAAGAAAATGTAGCACATATACACAATGGAGTACTACTCAGCAGAGAAAAACAATGACATCATGGGGTTTGCAGGCAAATGAATGGAACTTGTAAATATCATCCTAAGTGATATTTTCACCCAGACTCAGAAGGATAAACATAGTATGTACTCACTCATAAGTAGATACTAGATGAAGGGCAAAGGGTAACCAGACTACAACCCACAGCTCCAGAGAAGCTAGCTAACAAGTAGGAACCCTAAGAGAGACACTCAGATAGCCCAGCAAAGAAGAAATAGATGGAATCTACTGTCAGTCTGACCAACAGGTAGGGTGGCAGCAGGACCAGTCCAGCTGGTCTCTCCCTGGGGCTGAGCAGGATGATGAATGTCAACGGCCCAGACCCCCCATTCTACCAGAGAGAAACACACTGGACTGGGAGTCTTGTCGAAGCAGAAACTCTTGCTTTATTGCATCAGGAGTGAACTTAAATAGGTTGGGGTCACACGGGGGATGGGGTGAGGATAGCGGGCCAATGAGATGATGCCATCTCAGCAGTTACTAGGCAGAGGTGATTCTAGGTTGAGTAGTGCTGAGTCACTCTTGTGAGGAAGTCATGTCCCAGGACAGGTCACCAAACTTGAGCTAGGCTCAGGAAGTTACACTGGGCCTCACACCTGGGCCTTATGGGGCCCACCACCTCCCCCTTTTGTTTTGTAAGACATGGCCCCTGTCTTAGGTCATCCCCCACTTGGAGATCTTACCCGTCATTGAGTACCATGTACAGTAAATTGGGGGGGTGGGGCTGCTCCATGACCTTCTTAGGGCGTCTCAGCCCACCTGAGAGCTTGCCCATCATTGGTCAAGTGAAGAGCAGAAGAAGGGCACTCATAGGAGGATACCCAGCCATGGGAGGTACCAGATTTCTGAGTGGTCAATCTTTGTTGGCATACCTCAACCTGATTTATCTTAATTGCCTCTAACCTCTGGTGGATAAATTGTATGAACTTATTGAACACACAAGGCCCAATGGTGAGAAGGGGAATAAGGAGAAGAAAGGGTTCAAGAAGGGGAAGTAGGTAGAGTAAGAATCCATGAAGGCCTGTCCATCAGAGTGGCCAAAACAGGGTTCAGATCCCTACTGGGTGCCTTCCAAGGCAGAACCAAAAGTATCCCAATGGCCAATGCCATTTTTGGTGGCAAGCCAGTAGGTCTTATTATCAGTCTTTTAAATGCATTCATGCACCGTGGTGTAGCAGGTGGCATGCATGGATCGGTAAAAGGAGGTGCAGGGGCCCAGGTTTGCTATTTACCATGGGTATGATTTTAGGCTTTAGCATACATACGCACTTGGACCCAGAAACCTGGGACCCAGAGGTATCAACGAAATTATAGGCAATTTTAGCACCACAATCTGACTGACTGATGGGAGACCCGCTTATGTATGAAATTTCAAATGTTCCCCCATTGCAGTCACAGGGCTTCCCCATCATCTTGTTTAGGAGGGCTCTGGCATCATGTGGGTTACCAAATCCTCCATCATTGGGCTGGGCAATTAACATCAGCATCAGGACAAGCAACAGCATCTGCAGCTTTAGTCGTTTCTTGAGGAGAAGCAAAAAGACTATCCTCCGGGGTGGAACACTCCCTGTAGCCATCATTATCACTGTCCCCTTTTGGGGGTAAATATTTGAGGTCTCTGGCCAGTACCCAGATGGGTCTCTTTTCATTTTGAGGAAAGACATATCTAAACCCTCTTCCTGCAGTGAGGAGTGGGTCTGGCCCTCTCCAGGCCCCAGTTAAAGGGTCCCTCCACTTGACCCAGATGGTACTGTAGGTAACAGATGAGGACCAATGTTTTTGAAAAGGAGACAAATATTTATCTTCCTTAGAAAAAATTAAAATATTTAAGGTTAATAATGCCTTTCTTAGTTGATCATGTGGGGGTAGAGACTCCACCTTTTGTTTTTGTAATTGGGACTTAAGTGTTTGGTTGAATCTTTCCACGATGGCCTGACCCCTAGGATTATAGGGGATGCCAGTAGAATGAGAAACTTTCCAGGTGTGTGGGAAATTTATAAAGGCTTTGCCAATAAAGCATGGGCCATTATCTGTTTTGATTTGGCTAGGTAAACCAAAGGTGGCAAAGCATTGAAGCGTATGGCTAATAGCATGTTTTTGGATTTTTCCCCCCAGCATGGGCTGATGCCCAACAGGCACGGGAGAAAGTATCTACAGAAAGAAAAACATATTTAAGTTTTCCAAATGGAGAATAATGTGTGACATCAATCTGCCAGAGATGATTGGGGTAAAACCCTCGGGGATTACTCCCCATCTTTTGGAGGGGAGGGATCTGAAGGGACTGACAAGACTTACAGGTCTGGACAATTTTTTTGAGATCTTTAACCAGTGCCTGAGGAAACTCATGTTTTAGGCCTCTCCAGTTAACATGGGTAAGTAGGTGGAAATCTGTGGCCTCAGTAACAGTATTACATTGAGGCATAGAAGCCAGATGGTCAGCCAGCTGATTTCCTTTGGAAAGAAGTCCCAACAAATTTTGGTGGCCTCTAATATGTTGCAAATAAATGGGATTGAGTCTCTGTTTAAGTAAGGAGCAAGCCTGAATCATAAGAAGAGAAATGGGGTTGAAATCTAATCTAATATGGGCTTCAACCAGGTTGGGCAAAAGATTTACAACATAAAGGCTATCAGAGAATAGATTAAATGACTCTGGTATGAAATCTAATGCCATAACAACAGCAAACAGTTCCTTAAACTGTGCAGAACCCTCCACCTCGCGGGAGATTGTTTTTATAGGTATAGGTTTTTCTCCTCATCCAAGGGGTGGGAACATAACTAGGGAAGCCACCAAACGTCCCCCGTTGGTAAACACTGTAAGAAAATTGGGGTTTGGGTTGGGCAGAAAAGTTCTAGAGGGCCTCCACTCCAGACGGGAGAAGGAACTCATCCATTTATAAGGGCCATGATGACAATCAACCTTCCCTGGAAACCCCTCAAGGACTATGGCAATTTTGTTATTTTTTTGAAGCCAGGTAAAGTTAGTAATTTTAAATGGAACAATAACGGAATGAGGTTTTGTGCCAAATATCCTGACAGAAATACCCCTACCCTTAATAATGCAATCAGCTACCTGGTTGGTCAGGGAGTAAACCCAGGGGGCTCCACCCACCGAGAGGTGACCCCAATGAATGGGCTCCCCCTCTTGTGCTAACAGCACAGGGCATAAGGTTTCCCCAGGAAAAATACACAGGGAGACAGGCAGGTCAGGGTCGAATCTCCTTAGGGCCACTGTATCAATGGCTTGTTGAGCCTGTTGTAAGATTTGTAAATGTTGGGAGGATAAGGTAATCTGGGATGAAAGGTCAAGGCCCTTAAGGAGTTCATTTAAAGGGGTTAACTGCTCTGTGGGCACAGAGATCCATGGCCTCAGCCAATTTATCTCTCCCAGCATCTTTTGAAGCTGAATTAAGGTATAGGTTTCTTGAATAAGTAACTGGGGTTTAGCTGGGGAAACTGTATCAAGGGACAGGACAGTGCCCAGAATTTTAAAGGGGGAAATGGACTGTACTTTATCTGGAGTCACCCTAAAATTATGATCTTTCAAGATGGTAAGGCAATTAGTGGTGAGGTCCTGAAGGCCCATCAAAGTGGGGCTTCCTAGAATAATATCATTCATGTAAATATAAAATAAAATGTCAGACATCCCATTAGGGAGAAAAAAATATGTGACATAAAGTACTGACACATAGGGGGGGCTGTTAGCCATCCCCTGGGACAAAAAAATCCACTCAAACCTTAAGTCTGGGCCCCGGAAGTTGGTAGAGGGCAGGGAGAATGCAAACTTCTCCATATCATCTGGATGGAATGGAATGGAGAAAATACAATTCTTAATATCAATAATAGTCAGATAATAGGTATTAGGGATGTCAGGTATCCAGGGAAGTCCCCTTTGGGGGGTCCCAAATGGGATCTTTTTATTATTGATTTTTCTTAAGTCATGCAGGAATCTCCAGGAACCATTAGCCTTTTTTATAACAAAAACAGGAGAGTTCCAGGGGCTGGTGGATGGCTGAACATGCCCCAAGGACAATTGTTGTTTAACCAGAGCATCAAGCTGTTGTAATTTAAAGGATGGTAGAGGCCACTGCTCAACTCAAACAGGTTCCCCAGGTGTCCACTGAATCTTTGGCACCAGGGGCGAGCAGTGGCCTTTAGAATTGGGGGTGAACCTGGGAAAAGTCTCGTCTGAGCTTCTCAAAATAGGGATCATCCCTACAATTGGGGTGTGTTTCCTGCCCCTCTTCAAACTGCTGTTGGTACTCTTTAGTGTCAAGCATGTCCTGATAAGGGGCCTTATGGTCTGTGGTGATAAAGGCCTCAGCTTCCCCAAGGATGTCCTGGCCAAGAAGGTTGTCAGTTACACCAGGAACCACAAGGGGATGCACCTCCCCGTGATTACCATCTGAGTCAGTCCAGGACAACCAATTAGCTGTCTCCCATGACATAGAATGCCCCCCCCAATGCCAAGCATGTGGGGTCCAGAAACCAACTGCCAGGAGGGGACTTCCTCCTTTTGGATGACTGTGTAGTCAGCCCCAGTGTCTATGATAAAATTAAAGGTTTTTCCTTCAATGGTTAGGGTCATCTTGGGCCTTAATCTGGGCACCAAGGGTATGGTTCAGTGGGCTTTGACCACCTCTTTCCCCTTATTTAACAGGGCTAGGGATCACCCCTGGGAGGTGCCCCTTGGAAGTTGAATTTAGATCTACAGTCTTTTGCCCAGTGGAACCCCTTCTTATACCTGAGGCATGGTCCCTTAATCCAGCACAGGCAAGCTTATGATCAGTGTTCATGCATCCAATACCAACATTTTAACAAATTTATTCCTCAGCTCCTTGGAAAGAAACCTTTTCTGGAGACTCTTATTGACCCTTTCAACAAATGTCACTAAGTCATTGCCTGATCTCTGATGGACCCCGGATATAGGAACTTCCATGGGACCTTCATCCAATATTTTCCAAGCAGCTATCCCAAGTGCCCTAACTTGATCTTGATGGGGGCAGGGATGGCAGCCTGCTGGAGGCCAATGGAGTACTGGTCGGAGGTACCGGACAGTATCCCAAAGGTGATAGGAATTTGAGGGTTGGCTGTAGGTAGAGTTTTCCTGCCTGGCCCACAGTCAGGGCAAATCTCTCTCACCTGCCAGTCCCACAGCCGTCAGACCCGACCAAGTAAACACAGAGACTTGTATTGGTTTCAAACTGTATGGCCATGGCAGGCTTCTTGCTAACTGTTCTTTCAGCTTAAATTAATCCATTTTTATAAATCTATACCTTGCCACATGGCTCGTGGCTTACCGGCATCTTCACATGCTGTTTCTCATCTTGGCGGCTGGCAGTGTCTCTCTGACTCAGCCTTCCACTTCCCAGCTTTATTCTCCTCCTTGTCCCGCCTACACTTCCTGCCTAGCCAATGGCCAATCAGTGTTTTAATTATTGACTAATCAGCAACACATTTGACATACAGAACATCCCACAGCAGTTGGCTGCTTGATTTCTCTCTGCCTGGACCCTGCACTCCTCTAGATAGAAGGCATCCCATTTCAAGTAGAGAGGTCCAGGGAGGACTGCTTTGGCAAGGGCCTTCCAAGCCCAAGTGGTCAAGGCTTGATGAGCCAGACCCAGAAGGATAGTCTCAGCCCAAGGGGAATTTGGCCCATCCTCTGAAACAGCCTTTTTAAGGTCCTTAAGGTCCTGAGCCTCTCAGGGATACCAGGCAAGTGGGCAATTGCCGCCGGGGTTAATATTAACAGGAAAGATGCCAGTCACATCTCCTGGGACCGCACTCCACCCAGAGTAGGGCAGAGGTGCAGACGGATTTGGGGGAATGGAATTCAGGACAGAGGAGGTGAGGAATGGATTGGTAGGGAGAGAGGATGTTGAGAGGCCCTTTGAAGGCCAGGGGGCACCATCAAAGGGATCAAGAGATGGATACAACGAGCCAGATGAGCCAGGCTGACTCAGGGTTTTGGTTTGTGTGTGGCCTGAATTTTTATGTCTCTTTTCTCCCTGGGCTCTGTTTCCTCTCCCTGAGGTCTCCCTATAGGCTCCTACTCCTTATAGGGCTCTGGATTTATGTCTCCCTTCTTAGAGTTTTCCGAGGCAGCCACTGACCATTTCTCCTTAATGGGCCTTGGTGGAAAGCAGCCTTTTAAGGCAGTAACAATTGGGATAGCTCCCAGTGGAGGAATCTCTCCTCTGTCAACCCAGACCCTGTGAATCGGGGTTTCTATTCTATCCCAGGTGTCCCAGTTGAAAAGATGGCCATCAGGCAACCATGGGGAGATCTTAATGAGGTAAGTCCATGTCTGGAATGCCTGACTATCAGAAAGGTTGAGACCCCTGCTCTTTAGCAGTATTTGTAGGGACTCTAAGGCAGGATTTAGTTTAGAAGACTGCCCCATATCTTATTGGGGTACACTCACCCACAGACTGATTGGCCTATCAGCGTTCTTCCATTCCTCACATGGGGCACCAGTCTGTCAGTCTGACTGACAGGTAGGACAGAAGAGGGACCGGTCCAGCCGGTCTCTCCCTGGGGCTGAGCAGGATGATGAGTGTCAATGGCCCAGACCCCC